GGCAGAACTCATATTGGATTTGGAGAGTGACAGAGACAGCAAAGTTAAGTTCAATGTTCAGGTTTTTGTCTTAGAGAACTGAACAGATGTAAGTGGTCAGTAGATAGTTAACCATCCTTGGCACCAGCATACTTCAAGCCCCATACATCTTTAAACCAGAATTTACCCTTTACAACAAATAAGACACCAAGGAACATGCTCTGAAAGACTTTCTGAAATATGTGTGAAAGCAAAAGGCACCTATACCGTGAATGGATAAAAGAGGTTGGTCCATTATAAACACACAAAAAAGTCCTCCAACAGGAAATGGCCAAGTAAATAAAGATTGGTTGTTTATTGAAGCAAGAGGCAGAGCAAGTAGAAAAAATTATGCTGTGCCTATGATAAGGGAGGGTTTCCTTATAACTCTGTGCAGATATTCACAGTTCTATAAAGGTTCTTGCGAAAATTCTGCATGAACTTAGAATTCATGAAAAGGGACATTAGATTTTTAGAATTTGAAAAAAATAAACTCTTATATACAACCCAGACTGGCCCACAATGGATTTCACTTTAAATATATCAAACAGCTCCTGTAACTTGGCAAAGTTCTTGTACATCTGCTGCTTTTCTTACCCGTCCTCCCACCCATAATCCAATGAGATGTACAAAAGTAAACTTACCAGAAACAACACATTACAATTATTTAGCTCTTTATGGATTTCAAACATACTTTTCCATCTATTTTCTCTTTGAAATCTGTCCAAACGTTGGCAGAAAAATAGGATTCACCTTGGTTCCGTTTTTGTCAGCAAATATGATTAAGCAGAAGGCCAGTGGTGGGCGATGGGGTTTAAGCACATGTGAACCACGGTCCATGCCCAAAAGTAGCAGCAGTAACAATAATAATGACAAAGGAATAGTTACCAGCAACTGTTGTTTGAATACATGCCAGACATTCTCTTAGTGCTTTACTGTCAAGGCCGTTTTGACCACTTTTCTTGGTGACTTATTTTCAAAAGGTGCTCATGCTGGCTGGTGACCCAAGGGTTGTTAACTATCTGTGGATCAATCACATCTGTCTAGTTCTGTCTATAAGACAAAAACCTTGTCAGTTTTCCTTGATCTCACGCTCTCCCTCACTGTCCAATCCAATATGAATTTTATTACCTAAATCCGATTGATTTTACCAATAAAATATCTCTGCATTCATGACTGTTATTTTATTTAACCATCATACAGTCCTTTGAAGTTGGTGTTTTTCTTATCCCATTTTACAGCAGAGGAAACTGAGATTTGGAGGTTTGATAACTTGTCCAAGTCCACATGGCCAGTAAGTGATGGGACTTGGATTTGAATATAAACCCATTCAGAGTCCAAGTCTATCTTCTCAGTCTCCAGAGCCTAAGTTCTCGATAGTGATAGCTACCATTAGTTGATTACTTATCAGGTTTTAGGCACTGTGCTATGGGCTCTGCCTGTGTGATCTCATTTCATCTTCCCAACACAACAACTTTATGCTAGTACTTCAGGTAGATACTATTGTTATCCCACCTTTATAGAGAGGAAACAGGGACTCAGGTTATGGAACATGTCCAAGGTCACACAGCTCATGAGTGAGTTGACCTCAGCTATTTGATTCCAGATTCCAAGCTATTACTCAGGGTACTAAACTGCTTTCCAAAATTGGGGTTCAGAAAAGTTAAGGGATTTATAAAGGAGCATAGGTCAGGTAAATACGGACCAGGGCCAAGACCCAACTCCTCACGTAGGATTATAGTTGAGGCATGCAGTGATCTTATCCCTCTCTCCTCTGCAGATCAATCATACCCTCACCTCAAAGGCTCTTGCCTCTAACATCAGCCCTACCCTGTGTGAGTCTCTTCCACTGCATCTAGTGATTTCCCATCAACGATTCCCCAGTGTTGTGTCTACATCTCTGCCATGGCTACCACTGCCTGGGCCTCCCCACCCCCACACGGTCTCCAGTCCCTGAGCTGATCTGCTGTCTGCTACAGTTCAGACAGGCTGATTACCATACAGTCTTGGCTGCTAAGAACCAAGAGAACCCTTCAAATCCACCAACTGCCATTGTGACTTCCTACCTTTTGAGACCAGACCTTTCAAATGAGTAGGAGCCCCAGTCCCAGACAAATCCTGCCCATCCCCCTCACTGATAAATTTTACTCTATTGGCTGTGTTGCGTCCTTCCAGATGTTTTAAGTTAAGATTGGGAAAGCAGTGTTTTTACTGGATTGCTTGGCTGACATTTTTTGGCCCTCCATACACCCCTTAGATTTATCAGCTAATTGCAGACACTTTGAGAGAATAATACAGCATGTGTTTATTATGACAACCCCTGTCAGTGTGCCTTTGTGGTCAAAGACCCACGGATGGTTCCTTTACCAATCCCTGGTTAAGGATCAGAGTTGGTTCAAAAAGGTTAGTTGAAACTCAGATGGGTGAAAATGTCATGTGTGTGTTTGGGGAATGAGGACAGGACTAGTCCAAAACTCTTTTTAGTTCTTGGACTGTTTTGAAGTCTTTAGTTGTGGATGATAAAATGATTTATTAGGAGATGTCAAATGCCTGAGGAATTTTATTTAAAACATCAAAAAACAGCTTCATGTTATTTTAATATCACTGTTTAATAAGTTTCCCCCTCTGGGCTAGCTCTGTTTCTCAAATGTGGGCTGTCTGGAGACTTGTGCCTGAGGACAAGTCAAAGGGAGTGGCTTCCTCCCTCAATCATGGCAACCACTGGCTGAAGTACCCCATCAAACGGGAAGAGCCCAATAGCAGCAAGTTTGGGGGTGGGCGAATGGACAATCTTCACAATTCAGGCAGGGCAGTCTGGGATGAGTCACAGGATGCTAGCAAGCCCCAGTCCTAGGATGGTGCTACATGCACAAGAGACCAAAAAGACTAGATCAACCGTAAGACACTGGGGAAGCCAGCAGGGAAACACAGGTGCCCAGGATATATCCTTGGGGTCCTTGATCCCAAGTTAGACTGACAATGAGTGGAAAGCAGGAGCTCAGTGTTTGACCCCAGATGCCCAGAGCAGGTGTATGAGGACTGCTGACTCTAACAGAGATGGGCAAGGGACATGGGAGTCCGGAACATTCCCTTCATGCTACAGTCAGGGCAGAGGGAGGAACTGAGGCTGCACCTGTGTCTGGGGTGGGTGGAGGTGGCTAGGTAGGCCAGAGGCTGAGGAAATGAGGCAGAAGCTGAAGGAACAAATTACTTCCAACTGCAGAGTCAGGAGAATGCTGCAAACAAATAAGGGAATCGAAGTACAAAACTGCCATGAAGTTCTACAGAGTGAAGGAAAAGTAGCCAGAAAATCTGAATTTTAGGATTGTCAAGGAGAAATGTTGTTTTTGGTGACATTCAGGTACATAGAGTTACCTAAAATACATGGTGGGGAGATAACCTATCTCAATAAATGCATATTAATATTTTCTTAAGCATGTTTGTTCATTTTCTTTCGCAATGCTTCTCTATAAGGATGCCCAGATTTCTCTCTGGAATGGGTAAATATGATCTCTTCTGAGAAAGTGATTTGTTTTCATTGCACAGATTGAGAAAGCTCATAAATATTGGCTGTCCTTTTCGTTTGCTACTAGAAAGCCTGGAACTAAGTCCGCTGTAGCAAGGAAATAAGCTCCTCACAGCAGATTTTTTCTATGCTATTCTCACTTCTTGCATCATCTTCCCTTTATTTTCCCTTTAGTCAGCCCCACATTGTCATTTATTCTCTTTCATTTGTGTCTTACGATGTATCACTTAAGCTGGAACAAAGAAGCATATGTAAATAAATACAACAATGCAAATAAATGGGCATTTCCCAATGCTAAAAGATGCTGTCGTCTTTCACAGACTTTAAGTTTTATAATCATATCATCAGTTGTTTTAACAAATGCCCTTTTCATGAATAGAGAAAGGGTTTCCTTCAGCCCTCTAAACCATCTCAAATTCCAAATTAAGATACTGCATTTAGTTGGTAAATTAACTCAATGTCTTATACATGTTTAAAATACTTGATTCAAATTCTAGAATCAATATTCTCAAGGTAGGATTTGTAAATGGTGGAGAGAAACTTAGATGCTACCAGTGAGAAACCCTGCTCTAGCCAGCAAAAGTCTTCATTATTAACTCCTGTGAAGTCACAGGGCTCCCCCGACTGTCCACTCAACCCCGTAAGACTCATTTGTGGACAAGTGTACATTTCCATTTAACTAAGTCTCAGGAGGTCTTCCTGAAGAGTGAGGCACAAATGCCCCCTTCTAAGCTCACATTTTCCAGAGTTTTCAAGCAAAAAAGGAACTCTCAGTCATCTGACTATGCAGCTCCTGTGGAGAGTTGACCATCTCCATCCTGTCTCTCCAGCTCTATCTAGTATCACTCTTTTTTTTTCTACTTTTCAAGCTGCCTTTGTTCCAGTTCAAGAAGTCTATGTACTTTTTCCTTCTCACCTTTACTCACACCATTCCCTGCCTGGACCCTAACCCTCCCCTAACCCACTCCCTTTCATTTGAGTCCCACCCTCAGCTCCCAGCTCTTCCATGAAGCCTTTCCTAGCATACCTGCCCCAGCATCTCCTCCATAAACTCTGCAGTTCCTACGGTCTACTCTTGCACCCTTTCACCTACAATATGAGTGGCCACTGGCATTTATCATTTCCAGTGTTAAGTCCCATTTCCACAACCCTATGTTAAACCTCTGCAAAAACTAGGACTGGTGTAGCATAGGCTCAGTAAATACCTGTCAAAAGAGCAAATGAATGAATAATTCTTAGGGCTTTTAGGACACTCAACAGCATCTAGCACAATCTGGCTTAATAAATGTTTGGCATTGGTACTAGTCAAGATGTTAGACTCCTCCCACCCCCATCCCCACTGCAGCCAAATGTCCTTGAACCTTCCTATCTCTATCTCAGTAGCTAAAAGCAAAACCCTAATTCTATCTTTGAACAAAATAAGCTGTTCATTGACTTTTATTTCCTCTCCTCCTAGATTTTGAAGAAGTCCTGCATCGAAATTCTAGCAGCTGAACCATCCACCATATGTGCAGGAGGTAAATTGAAATGAAATGCTAATTGCTTTCAGACCATTTATGATATTTTGAGTTCCAGTCACATATGTACTTCATTGGTGGTGGGGTGGGAAAGAGGAATAGGAAGGGGGAGGGTGAAAAGAGGAGTTGAAATTGCTAACCAAATTTGCTCCAAGGAAAAAAGGAAAGAAGGAAGCCACATGTCAGTTGTTTGAAAGTTAAAAAAAAAAAATCTGTCCAAATTATCTTCTTTCACTGGGCGTGGCACCTCACGCCTGTAATCCCAGCACTTTGGGAGGCCAAGGCAGGCAGAGCCCTTGAGGTCAGGACTTGAGGTCAGCAGGACTTGAGGTCTGACCTCATGGCAGGCAGAGCACTTGAGGTCAGGAGACCAGCCTGGCCAACATGGTTAAACCCTGTCCCTACTAAAAATACAAAAAATTGACCAGGTGTAGTGGCACTCATCTGTAATCCCAGCTACTCGGGAGGCTGAGGCAGGAATCTCTTGAACCTGGGAGGCAGAGGTTGCAGTGAGCCAAGATCACACCACTGTACTCCAGCCTGGGCAACAGAGCGAGACGCCGTCTCAAAAAAAAAAAAAAAAAAATTTATCTTCTTTCATGGGACCTAATTAGAAGGGAATTGTTAGAAATACTGGATTCTTACACTGAATACTGAGTGACTACCAACACCCTACCTCTGGATAGAAATGGAATCACCTCTCTTTTTCATGAGGCCCTGCAGGTACCGGACAATCATGGTGGTCATAGGCCACACTGGAAATACTGTTATACTTCAGTTTTTAGTTGGATGCTGGCCTTCTCACACAGTTAGTATATTTATCTTAACTGTTTAATCTGCCAGTCCTCACACCATGGTAGTGGATGGCTCTGGTTGTCCCTGTAGAGAGCCATATAGTTTTGTCATTAATAAGAAAGTCTCTATGCAAAGAATCAGCCTTCTTCGAGTGACAAGTTTTTCTCTAAATGATCAAAATCAGGGTCATGCTCTTGTTTCATATTTAACAGACTGCTTAAAACTTCAACCATGTTGGCGCTTCTCATATAATTCTTGACAGGTTCCCCATCACTCTTCTTTCATTCATTCGAAAAGTATTCTTAAGTGCCTGCTGCATGCCAGGCACTGTGCAAGGTGCTGGAGATACGGGAAGGAAAACCTCTGTGTGAGTTCCTGTCCCCCAGAAACTTGCATCTTTCACCATTGAGAGTTTATTGTTGATATCACCTTTTCAGCCTCCCAAAATACAATGCCAGTTATTAATTTACCAACAGAATATATGTCTTACAACCTGATAAGGTAGGAGGCATTAAAGGAAGAACTTTCAGGCCTCTTCAAACACTACACACGTCAATGTTTATGGCATATTTTACTGGTATAAATGAGGGAACTCCTTAAGGATTTTATTCCAGCTTCTGGGCTATATTTTAGAATAATTGAAAGACTTTCGGGGAGTTAGATGCACCAAAAAATTGGTGCCAGCAGCAAAACATCAAGTATATATGTAAAGATATAAAGTTGTTATCAATACTTAGTAGCTAGTTATGTACATACATAAATATACAGCATGCATACATAAATACGTATGTACATACATAAATGCATACATACATAAAGTTGTTAGCAAAATACTTGGTGACTGACTATTCAGAAATATGTACTAATTTCCCAAAGAAAGGCAATCCCAAAAGATTACCCACTGACCTTTAGATAAATTGCTATCTGACCACACAGATGGCAGGGGTTAATGTGATTGCCACAGAGGTAGATCGGTGAGAATCTCTTTAAGAATTCAGAAATCTTACCTAGGCAAATTTGACAAAAACATATGACCACATGAATGCAGCGCCAGGGCTTCGTAAGGGGCCTGTGCAGTGAGGAGCCTCAGTTAGGCTTCATGAGCCTCAACATAAATTCACCTCTGGGTTCTGTGTGCTTCAGGTAGAGGAATTGAGTAGGATATTTGATTAATTAAATCTCATGCTGTGTGTGTGGGTTGTTTTATAAACATACATTTTATGGGTCTGTAATTTTAAAACAATTAGAAAATAAGGGAGTTCCTTAACTGTGCAATTATTGCATTCATGAAGAAAACCCAGACTTTGAGTTTAGCAATCTAATTGGATGTGTTGTGCAACCTTGGAATGAATCAGAAAGTCTAAAGACAATGAACACAGTTTCTGTTAATTCACTAGTATAATGAATTCCCTCCCTGTAGGCTCCTTAAAGATAGAGAAGGAACCTTATTTCTCTCTACTTCTCACTGCCTAGCAGAGTACCCGGCACTTACTAGGTGGCCGATAAATGTTGACTAAATGTCTTGATTCATGTATTCATTAAAAAAAAATGCCACTGATATTTGCCTATTTGGCCCTTATTAACTCCTTTCACCAACCATAAGAAGTTAACATACCTTTGAACTGCAACTAAAATGAAGCAAAATCTAAAATTAATAGACAAAGGTAGAGTAAGACCAAAGGAAAAGGAAAAATCTCCACCACTTAGACAATGGAAAATTGCCTTTGTAAGTAATTTTAACCTCAAAAACTAAACAATATCCCTTATATACCATTAAGGTGTTCAAGACAATAAAAACGCCACCTAAACTAAACAAAAATGACACAGAAATACCAGGGTCCGATCATATCATATCAGCATCTGATCATATCAAATTCATAGATTTCAAAGTTTCTCATCAAGTGAAATAGAAAAATAAATGAATTAAGAATTAAAAGATAATATTGGAAAAGCTAAGGAAAATACAAGAAACAAATACACAATCCACTAATAAATTTAAACAAAGCAATTCAACAGATAAATTATTCCAAGTGTTGTTTATTTGGTAGAACCAATCAAATAGACAAATCTGGTAAATCCAATCTAAGAAATCTTTCTTTAGATTTTCTTAAAATCTCTGGCTTATGTGCAATATTACTTATTTTATAAACAATAGTTATCTATATCAGAGTAAACTATCCAATCATATTATCTTTATTTCTTATAAAGAAAACATTAAAACAAGATACAATGATGAAAGCTAGAACTAGGTCTTGAAAAAGGCAAGCTCCCATCTCTCAAATTCGAGTCATAAGGGTTTAAACATGCTGATTACAGAATAACATTTCTAAGAAGAGAATGAAACTCCCAAAAGATATCCTTACATCAACATTTCTTCCACAGATTTCCTTGAAGATTTCTTGTTGACTATTCTCTGGAGTAAACATAGCTTTCAGGAGGCCTGGGAGCCCATGTCATTGTCCAGATGCCTGTCAGAGCGAGGCATAGCCCCTCTGTGACTTTATTAAGCTAGTTCGAAGATACAGGTATTTATATGAAAGTGCTTTGAAAAGTATAAATTGTTATGCAAAACAAGATGGCTTGTTATCAGCATCATCTTATTAAGGATTAAAGGCCAGCGTTAGAATCATGATGTTGATAACGTCATACCTAGATGAGAAAAGCATTCCTGTATATTTCTCCACTGAAAGGAAATTGGGGAAGAGTATCTGCAAAATGATTAATTAACTCACATGTATTGGGCGAGAGAGTAAAAGGGAAATAACTGATTGTTCACATTTCTAACGTATAATGGTGGGACCAATCCCTAGACAGATCTATGAAGAAGGTAAAATTTGCTTTCATCAAAAACCTTTCCTCTTAGCCTCCTCCCCTCACTCTCTGTGAATTCCTTCTTTTCCTTGGCCCCTAGAACAGCTCCTGCTGTGGAGCCCTACCCAGGTCTGTCCTGCTCAAGACACTCTATGCTGATGATTGTATTCCCCTAAGACAGTGATCTCAGCTGGCTCTCAACCCCAGCCCATCACCAGCAATGGTTCTGACAGCAAACTGAGCTCTGGGCGAGGTAGCGAGATAATGACAACGAAGCCAAAATCCAGCACCGGCCTTTATATACTGGGCTGCACCTAACAAGGTGTAATTTAATGGGATGAATATAAAGTGTTGAACTCGGGTTCAAATATCCAGTTTCACATACAGGTAGGTTTAGGGAATCCTGACTTGGTAACAATTAACGGTAGACAGGAGAAAAGACAAGAATGATCACAGTTGTCTTGCTCCCCAACAAGAATGCCTCTGACTAAGAAAAGCTGACACAATCTTAGGGTGCATCAATAACCATCCAGTGTCCAGGTCAGGAGAACTAACAGTCCTATTCTATGTTCAGACCATGGTTTCAAGTCCCACATTTTAAGAATGGCATTGACAAAGGCATGCCCATAGGCGTAGAGATAATGGATCTGGAAATCACATTATAATTCATTCACGGATTCATTCTTTCATTCCTTCTTTCTTTGCTTTTTTCTTTCTTCTTTCCCTCTTTTTCTTCCTGTTTGCCTTTCTCCCTCCTTTCTTTTCATCGATTCTTAGTGTCTTTTATGCACCAACCGACGTGAAAATATATGAACACAAAAATGTATAAGACTTAGTCCCAAATCCACCCACACCCCTATGAAACTCACAGTTCACTCTGGGAGATCATCATATGTTCAAATAAATTACAAAACCATGCAGTAAGCACTGTAGCAGAGGTCTGCTTACAGAGTAGTGAGAGCACTAATGAGATGCCTGTGCAATGAGGAAAAACTGAAGTCATCACAGAGACTAAGGCCAGGAATTGAGATACTCACAAGAGCATCTTTAGATATTTGGAGGATTCCCATGCAGAAAGAAATTATTAGGCATATTATGTATATCTCCAGGAGACCACCATGGAGGGGTTGGGGAGGAATTCAGTGAGGCAGAGTTTGGCTTACCACATGCAACTTGCACAACTAAAGCTTTCCAACAATGGAGTGGACGGTCTGAGCTCTCCCCCCATGTGAGCAGTGGCAGAAGGGCCATCTGTAAGCAGATGCTCTCTGGAGAAAACCTCCTCCGAGTCTCCTTTACAGCTTCAGATTTCTAAAAGATTTAAATCAGTTTCCACTAAGGTATTAATGGCTGATTATTTCTCAATAACTGAGGAAACCAGTATTCCTGGAACT